AGGTAACTCTTGGAGTAAACAGGTTGGTTTTGCCAGGCTGCTGATTATCACTTACACACACACACACACAGACAAAAATAATGAGTGCTCTGATCAGTGCTGTTCTTCTGTGTGTAAGCCTGGAGGCTCAAAAATTTTGCGAACTTTTTCTTATATGTGTTAGGGCATATTACAAGAATGGAACGTGTCTCAAAGTGAATATTAACATGTACATGAATGTATTTCAAATAAAAATGACCTTATAGCTTAAAGAGGGTGATCGTGAGCAAGAAGTGATGCTGTGGGGACTGTATAGGTTTGGATTTCATGTTTGTTGTTGCTTGTAATCCTTCTTGCCTTTGCCAGAATTGTTGTGGTTAAGCAAGTAGTCTAATTCCTTAAAGTTTGTTGGGGTTTGGTTTGGGGTTGGTATTTTTTTTCCTCTTTTCTACTGCTAGTGAGGGACTCACAAAGCAGCTAATAGGTGGAAAGAAAACTGAGTGTATGGAGTCAGATGGGAAATGACACTGATAAAATGCAAAACCCCATTATTCTCTTTGGCACATACAGTAATATTTGATATTACTTGTAAGAAAAAGTGATACTTGATTTCTCAGAGAATGTTTCTACTTGCAAAAGCCTGAACAAGCTCACTCAAGGAGGGATATGCCTTGGCTTAAAAATACCCAAGAATGTTCTAGCTGAGTGATGAGATGGCACAAAACACTGTAAAATACCAGGGATGGTATTTTATAATTGAGTAGTTCTGTTAGTGCACGAGGACAAGCCCCAAAACTCACCATTTGTAGACTTCTTTACCCTTACTATTTTCTTGGTTCCTGCATAGTTGCAGTTAAGTCTTATCACAGCACTAAAAGCTGCAAAGGATGGGCAACACGTAGGCACATCTGTGAATAAGAAGGCAGTAGTCAGTTCCCTCCTCGATGGCACACCTCGCCCAAGGACCCTTCATATTTTCCAATGTGAAGCACATCAGCAATCCTGTCACTGCCAACTTGGACAAAAGTGAAGCTGATGTTTCTTCAGCACTACTGTATTTGCTGCAGTATTGGTTGAATGTGCTACTCTTGAGAAAGGGCTGCCTCCACTTTCTTCTCACTGCTAGAAATTGTTAGCTGTTTAAGCCGGACTACTGTGAGGTTTGGATGTTGATCCAGGTCTCTGCAGACCAAGACTTTGATCAGTAGTGCTCTCTGCCTAACCTCTCTTCCCTTTGTCTTAAGGCTGAGGGAAGGTGGGGAGGTGGGAAAGGCTGACTTCAGCCCCTTGTGAGATGGGAGCTGGATCAGGTCCTGCCCCGTTGGTTCTTCCTTCTGTGGCTCCAACTGACTACTTGTAGACTGTCCTTTAGCTGCCTCTTTCATGTCAAGAATAGTCAACAGCCCATATCTTTAAATGGAAATTGATTCTCTGTGTTGGTTTCATTTGCAGGATTTTAAGCTCGAGTTTGGCCATCATCAAGGCAAGACAAGTTCTGTCTGGCATGGAGGTACAGCTACCATTATTCAGAGCCCTGGAGACGAAGTATGGGGATTGGTGTGGAAAATGAACACTAGCAATCTAAGTTCTCTGGATAAGTAGGTGACTTTAACTTTTGCTGCCTTATACTGCTTTAGAGAGCAATTGAAAAGTAGTAGTTAATTTTTGGTAAGGTGCTGTGTGGAAGCTTTGGTGTTGGAATCAAGAAGATGCTTTTGATTTTTATCTGTGAAGTGAAATTCACATTATGTGTATTGACTTCTAACACTTTTGTGATTAAAATGGCTCTTTTTCAAGCAGAAGCTATTTATGGGTGTTTTAACAAGCTGTGGACCTTGATTTGGAGCTGATATATTGATCAGGCTTCTTTTATTCTTTTTTTTTTTTTTTTTTAACCCCTGTCCTCACAATTTCCTGCCTCTTAAATGACTCTAAATACTGTACTTGTCCTGTGGCATTTTTCCCATTGCTTGCAGAATTTCCTTTGCAGTTGACATCAGTTTGTGTCCCTATACATCTGTAGACTCCAACTGCAGCAGAAAAGGAAGGGATGAGGACAAGACATTGCAGAAGAGGAGATCTGTAATACAGGGAAAGGGACCTTTTGAGGAGGTTACTTTCCATGGCTTCTCTTCTAAGGATTCAAACTTTCAGGAGCTTGAGGGAGATCCAAGCAGGGAGCTGGGGTGGTATTGTTTCTCCCTTTGAATGGGCGAGCCTACCTGCACCATTACAGTGCATGGTGGAGAATGTTCTCTCTGTGCCTGGTAATTAACACAAGTTTAAGCCACCCTGACCAAGTTGTTCCAAGTCTGAAGCCTGGAGGACCACCTGGGTAAACAAAGCAAGGAGTGAGTAGCATTTCTTGCAGGGTCTAAGGGAGGATTTAGACCCTAATCTCCAAACTTTGGTGCCATGTGCCTGTTGCAGCTTTTGGGATATGCCTGCACAGCATGGTCCTTCTGGTACACGAGGATTCTTTGTTCAGAGCAGTTCATCACTATCAATTAATTCCAGTAGAAATCTGGGCTAGTGCAGACAAGGAAGCAGGTCATAGTAAACCCAGTGAAGCACTACCTTAATACTGTTCTCCTGCCCCTGGTACTGTTGTAATTTTGGTTGTGGCTGCTCTGTGCTGTGTAGACATGTCCTTATAACGCTGGCCATGAAAGTTGGTTCCAACCTGCTTTTCATTGCTTCCCGTGAACCTGAAATACAACAGAAACTGTTGCCCAAGTTCTGTTAGCACATTGTGGGAATAGGCACTCAGCACTCTCGTCCTGGCTGGGTGTGTTAATCCCAAGCAGGAGGATGTCTGGTTTGTATGCTTGTCATTGGGGAAAGCTTCATATGTCCCAGCTTTATGATGTCCTGAGCTCCCCCACTGTTGCTTACACTAGCACTTAACATCCTGACCCCTTTGTGCTGGTTTTTACTGAAATCTCCTGATTTCCCATGCTTTCCTGAAGCATAAACCTCACAAGTATGAGGATCTTGTCTGGCAGTATCTGCTTTCATAGTAGCACCGTGTTTCCCCTCCATGGGACAGTATTTTATACATTGACTTCTAGAAGTATTTACATACGGTTTACAGTTTACATACTGTAGGATTACAGATCACTGGCATTTGTTTGACAGGGGATAAACTTTAATGCTCCTAAGATGCTAGAGACATGAGTGCTGTAATATCAGCAAAAACTGCAGGATGGACACTGGCACTAAAGATTACTTTTTCCCCGTTGCCTGATTGATGCTGTGGAGGTGAACTAGTAATGGAAGGAAATGGAATGTGTTCTAGGCTTTCACAATGATAGTTGATATTGTTCTTCTAAGGATTGCTCCTAACCAACTCAAATGTGTTTGCATGTGTTCCTG